TATGGAAACTGAAAACCCGTATCGACATTAAATCTGACCTGAAACGCTTGTTTCCGACAAAGGTGAAAGAGTGTTCTTTCGAAACAACGTCCGTCATCAGTGAACTGATACCAAAGTTGATAAAATGTTACGAAAAGTCCACCATCAAACGGATCGCTCTGAACTGCGGAATGCCAAGGGCTAGCAACAATCATGCCGGAATGCTCGTTAACTCGGCTGATCTATTTCGCTGGTTTGACGCACCGAGGTTTGCGGACATTGTGGTAGGTACAAAGTGAATTCATAAGATTTACTACACGAATTTACAGCTACGTACACAAGTTTAAGCATAGTATTAACATTGTATGGGTAGAAGATCCAAGACTGGGCAGACGTCGGTACCTACTTCCTCTTCAGTTCTTTGCAACCTCACGCGGGGCCTTCATTTCGTGGCCACACATCGACGTTCATTGCTTTACGTCTTAAGCATGGTCTTCTACACTTGAGATAAAATCTTTCCACTTATTTCCAGTTCTGCAACGAGGTACAGATTATAAACCTCCAACATGACTGTCGCCCACTGCCATATGATAGCTGAACTATCAATGTCGAGTTTGACAAATTTTGTTGTTCGCTTTCGGCGACTGCATCTCTTAGCTCGTCCTATTGCCTGAAAACTTCGGCAAAACTGACTGTACAGTCAGCTGTTCGTTAGATGCTCATTTCCATGGTATTTTCTATCTCTGCCATCTGATGGCGAGTACCATCTGCCATTCTTCAGCAGCTACCCATTGCAGACATACAGCACCATCGTTAAAAACATTCCACGTGTCGCTATTTCACCTTTCACGTTTCACCTTTGTAAAACTTCTTTGATATAACTATAACTGTGCCGAACAGCGTCTTTTAGTAGTGAGATTTCTTCAGTAATGTCTGCAAGATGTTAATTACTTGACCTACTGCATCTCTGTTTCGTCAAACTATTTCACTTTTCAACGGACAACAGATCATACAAAATTCGCTTTCAAGAACTGGAGGGGACTAGTAGTTGGCTCTGCACTTTACAGCTGTCGGGTTCAAGATCCGAAGCGGATCGTAAGTATTCCCTTATTAACTGTAAATTCTGTTGAATAAGTAACTGACCCGATTGGCTATCGTGATGTGGTTTGCTAATCTGCTGCAGTTCAGCTGATCGCTGTCACTGATTCCACGGTGAAAGTCTAGCCGTCTAAACATCTTCTCCAGACGGGCGAATAACGGTTTCAGGAACGATGCATCGCATGGTGCAATACCGTTCTCGAACGGTTTAGAAACCCCAAATACCATATAAAAATTAAGCTCCAACTAGCAGGTGTTTAGTATACCTTCCTCCAGTGGTTCAGTGAGCACTTGCTGCCGACGACCTGTTCGCAACACACTGCATTAAGTTCGACACAAAGCAACTGCCATACCGTCTGAACACATAATCACCTGAATTAGTAGGATTTTTAGGAAAGCACCTGGCTAGTACACAGGCGTCCCAAATCCTCAATAAATAAAGAAGGATATGACTTGGTGAAGATGATTCTGTTGGATCATGGTGAATAATGGTCTGCACTTCTATACGATCATCATATTTATCAAGCTTACAAGGAAGGAACTTGCTTATTTTCAAAGAAGCGATACTAGGATGAAGGCATAAATCAAATAAAAAATCTTGGAACATCTCGGCAACGGCACCGCATACAGATACGCATCTTTTTTATAACAGTTCTACAATCACAGATAAATTTGTCTACTGTAGCTCATTCCCGATCCGGTGCTCTTACAACCAAACGGTCAAAGGTTCAAACGTCGGTCAGATCATTATCCTCTGATCGTCGAGGTTGATAATTGGTAAGCATTTTGTGGCAAAAACTAAAGATACACACTACAACAGTCACCCAATAGTGTAAATACCGTTGTGAAAGTGACAACATAAGGCAGTACTCCAGGCTGACGGCACAGGAATAGGGATTAGCGCCAAATCATAAATAGATGGGGCTCAATCATGGAAACGTAAGGGACACATGGCACTGTTACGATTAAAACCATATCTTTTCTATCATTACATGTTTAAACAAAAGTTAGAAATAAACATAATTGATTGTTCCACGACAGACATTACGCACGTTCTTTGAACAACTGTCAGGGTCTGATAGGCAGTAAAATCATGCACAAGCAAATACGTGACCGGTTGTTTCTACGAGTTTGTTTCACGTTGTTAACATCCACGAGTTAGCATAAAATTTCGATGTTTCGTTCAGTACTCTTGAAAGTTTCTACTTTCTTAAGTCGTTTTCCCATTTCAGGACCTGAATCTGGACAACTGCTGTCTTGACCTTTGTGTTTTGCAGAAAATCAAACATCTGTTTCCTCGCCTGAAGTCTTTAACTGTGTTTGTGCCTGGTTTAATGGTCAGTGAAGAAAACATGCGCATCTTGATCGCAGGCTCAACTCCGCTGAAAACCATGCAACGCCCTCAGATACGTGCTACTGAAAAAAATATGGAAATCGCGCAGCTTGCTGGACTCATAACCTCTTGGCTGCCAAGCCTCGAAGTGCTACGACTTACAGACGAAAACGACTAACGAAAACATAACCGATACGACGCAATTCAAACTTCTTTTCTCGAACTCTCTACTTCACAGCTTGAACAGCAAACAACTAAAGCTACGTGATGCTACCCCTGGCATAAATAGCAACTGGCTTGGCAATACATTTTGTGTGCTTTGTAATGAGTCGTTGCCCAATACATTAACTTCGAAAGCATTACCACAGGAACTACCCAGATGGAGAAAAAAAAGTTACGCCACTGGTGTAAAGCCTTTGCTCAAGCTGTCGATCAGCATTCGCATTGATATCCAGGCAACGCAGTACGCAGAGTTGCCGTATACTCTTCAACCGAGAAGCATATATCACCAAGCTACTGGTTTACTTGCAAAAGCGCAGAAAAGCATATTCGCAACAGCCTGATTGTCTGACAATCTAAGAAAATTACTGCCAGCAAGTAAGTCATAATCTAATGGGTGAATTTTTGTACTTAATGTTTTCCTGCCAGCATCGTCAAGGAGCCCATTCATTAACTGCCTATTTTCATTCCTGCAGGTTGCCAGATCAGCATATGAGACGATTTAAAACAATGCCCGTTTTGTTAAGCGTCGGATGGAGGGGGAGGATGCGTGATTCCGTTATTCCTTTAATAATAAACTTTGCGTATGAACCTGCAGTTTTGATATTTATGCGTAAGAACATAAGAAACGGAAATTCTTGAAACAAATTGTGTGGGTGAGCAAGTGAATGCATTAGTAAATGAAATAACACCAAATACAACATGATAACACCAACGAATCATGACTAATATATAAACATCCTTCTTATCAGGGGTCAGGGTCACTCACCCTTCTTTTCAAGGGCAACAAATAAATTCCTAAATTCCAGTTCTGTGGGAAGGTAACAGGAGAACTATATGCTGCGCTTGCCACATGGTTGTAGACTCTGGCATAGAAACGAAGATGAACAGCGCATTATCAACTGCCAAAAGAGAAAGATACCAAACTGATTCATTAGTGAAAGTGAAGGAAGGCCTATATTCCAGCGGTGACTAACCTTTCCTTTCCCATAAACGTCCAATACACCATGAAATGCACTAGTTATACAATTCAATATTTGCTAAGGCAGTCTGACGTACTAACCCGTAAATTTTAACACGTCGTAAATAAATGTTATTACTTAGTGAACAAAATAAATAAAGGCAACACCGATAAACGATGAAAGTTTAAAAACAACGTTTCTGTGAGTATTTTGCATTTTAAGGTTATCCTCAGATCTGCATAGTTAAAAGCGCGAAAGACATAACGCTGGAAGAACACATTTTCGAATTGAACTAGATTTCGGTCTAGTATAAGATCAGACCAAACCCTTAAGCTTTCTAAAGGATCTAAGGATGACATTATGTTATTCGAGCCGTCGTGTCTTCCGCTATGATCATCGATACATGTAGAGCAATGCAATGATGCTATGTAACTAAGTCGATGA